CTGTAGGTGGCGGTATATAACGGAATGTTTTCGGTCATCGTCAGGGTATCAATAAATGTCCGCCTTCATGGGTACGAATGTGGGTCAGACAGGACTGGCTTGCAAATGGCATTGTATACGGATTCACAACTCAGATCGTCTGGGCCGGATTGGTACGCCGCGTCAAAGAGGCCAGACGAGAGGAACCGAGATGCGATCGGCCACAGCACGCTTCGAGCTCAGCCGAGCAGTGAGGAAGGGAGGTACGACCGAACTACTAGTAGACAGTGAATACGGAGGGTTCCGCCGTGAGCGTCGACAGACCGCAAGAGGTCGGAATGCGGGAGATGACATCAAAAACCGCGAAAATTGTCGCTATGGGGGGAAGGATAGCTTTGCTAAGACCAAAGTAAATAACTACCACTGACTGCCGTTCATTACGAAGAGAAGTGATTAGATTAAGGAAAGCCAAGTGGCATGTTTCGCAGGATCGTTCAGGTAAAAATACATGCTGACTAGAGCTCAGAAGCTGATTAGCTAGACAGAAGTCAAGAATTTCATTGAAAATAATCCTTTCAAGAAGTTTTGCTAGAGACGGCGTTTTGTGCACGCCCCGATAGTTATTAACATTGGACCGAGATCCTAACGTGAAGACGGGAATGATAATTGACGTTTTCTATGTTTCAGGAAAGAATCCTTTTGAAATATAAACCGAGAATAAATGACTGAGCAATATGGGAAGGTCGGACGTTTGTTTAATAATCGAATTCGGAATCTCGTCCGTTCCTGAGCAGTGTGGGTATTTCAAACGGCTTATGTGTTTTTTAATGAGATCTGAGGAGACATTAATTGTACTTAGTGTCCTATCTGAAAGTGATCGAAAGAAAGGGACCGGATCGGACTCGGTAGCAAGGTGTTTTGCAAAGAAAGCCCTAACCAACTCCGCCCTGTCAGTGGCATCGTTGAGGAAGACTTTGTTATCATCTAGCATGGGTGGGAGTTCCTCACCACGCTTAGAGGAGGACCGATGACGGAAGATGTTAGCGTCAGATTTGCCAGGGTTCCAACCACTCAGAGCAATTGATTCTCTTTGCCTGTCGCGCGCTTGGCGCATCCTTGAGGCCATCTCAAATATCTCTGTGAATCTAAGATGAATAGATAAGGAACTAGTGGATGGGTCACGCAGTTGTCGCCTCAACTTTTTAGTCTGTTCTGAAGAAAATGAGGAAAAAGGGAATCTGAAGAATTAGGTTTGAAATATCTACGCGGCAGAAACTCTAGAATGTCCTTGGAAACATTGGACATGAAATCACGAAGAATGGTTACATCGCTACAAGTGAGGAAGCCACACCAATCCAAGGATCTCATATAGTTATTTATTAAGTTGCTATCTTAGCAGTCGTAGTTCATGAAAGTCTGAACGGCGCTTGTCTTTTTTTGAAAAGGCAAGCGGTGAGCAACAATGCATTTATACGTGGTCCCTGCCAAAGAGGTCCTTTTTAAAGCAACAGAAAGAGGAGCAATGTCATTGGTAAAGATTAGATCTAAAATGTAATTATCTCTTGTTGGAGAGCGCACCAGTTGGGACCAATTAAAAAAATTGACAATATTTTGAAAGGGCTGGAATCTGGGTGGGCAGCTATTGGAAACCCAGTCTATTTTAGGAAGGTTAATATCCCCAGTGATTATTTTAACATCGAAAGCAGATTCCGAAATTAATTTAGAGATTTCATAGTGTTGAGAATCATCACTGGCTAAATAATTTGGAGGATTGTAGATACGGCCAATAATTGCCTTTCTTTGCGGCGAGAGAATAACAGATGCAAAGCAGAAGTTTCCCGTGAATGAGGAAACATCCAAGTAATAGGGAAATTGCTTTAGGTAGGATTTAAGATAAAGAAGACAACAACCCCCACGCCTAGTCTTGCGGTCTTGGCGGTAAAAATCGTTGTCATCTATGAGAAGGGCAGCGTCAGGAATTAGAGAATGTGTCCAAGATTCTGTTACACATATAATATCAGGCGTCATTTCCAGAGCAATGGCTCTGATTTGGGCCACCTTGTTTATAACAGACCTGGCATTCAATAATATAATATCTAATGTTTTTCGAACGGCAATGCTATTTTCGACGGTATTTAAAAAACTTTGGAGACGGATATGTAAGCTGTGAATTAATGACACTTGGAGAATAAGTAGCAGTTAATTTAGAGTTATTGACGTACGGGGAGTCAGCAAGAGAAGGCTGAGTATGAGACCTAAAGAAGGTGGGGATATAGTTTTCAAACATTGGAATGCTAGGGGAGTTAGAACATGGATATACTTGTTGGTAGTTAAATAATGGAGGAAGGGGAGGTGGAGGGAGGCTAGAAGGAAAGTAGGGGCTAATGGGTGGGGGTAGGCCACAAAAAGACTGAAATGGTGGGAAACCAGGTCTAGATTGGAGGTCAAAGGAGATAGGTTGACGTACCTGAGAGCAATTGGCCTTAAGTGGTGGGAAGCCTGAACTAGGTTGGGGCATAAATGACTTAGGGCAATTCATGTATGAATTATTTGCTGGATATATAGTAGGGCTTTGATAAGTAACCGGTACGCAGGACAGAGAATTATTCAGGGATATAATTGGAGCTGCGGGGTTTGTAGACGTGCTGGGCTGAACAGACTTGTTAGATCTAAGAGAAGGCGTCGTACCCCTAAATGGAACTGTACTACCTATCTTTTGGGTCGGAGTCTGATTCAATTTTCCAGTCTCACCGTTCTGACTGATATTAAAGGCTACCAAGTGTTCGCTGTGACAGATTTCAGCGTAGAGAAGGAGGCACAGCAAATTGTGTCAAATGAAATTGCGTGCTGTCAACGAGAAATATCCGATGGTGCGCCACGAAATTTTGAAATAATTTCATACAAGATATGTATCAAACAATTACGGACACTGAACCTGTGTGTTGTCTATCGGCCTCCCAGCTCGAATGAAATCGCCGATATGAAATTACTTAGTGCAGTGGAGTTGTTATGTAAGCAGGGGAACTTACTACTTCTGGGTGACTTCAACGTTCCAGGAATGGACTGGAACATTACCCTAACAAACGCCCCGTCCACGTCATTTGACGACAAACTGCTACAACTCTCCCTGAATGAATACCTCATTCATCACATAAAATAGGGACCAAGAATGAGAGAAGGACAACGATCTAACTGTTTAGATCTCGTTTTCAGTAAAGAAGAAGGACTCATAAAGGAATTGAATCCACAACCTCCACTCGGTTTAAGCGATCATATTGCTTTTATCTGCGTCTGCTCTCTCCTATATAACCAACAACGAAAAATCAAGAGGCGCAGAATTATTTTGAAGGCTGGCTTTAACGCAATGAGACGTACTCTTTTGGATGAAACCTGGTTGGTCAACACTAAAGATTCAGACGAATTCTGGCAGACTTTCGCGGGAGTATAGAGTGTCTAATTGATTCCCATTGTCCTATAAAAATGACAAGACCATGTATGCGACCGCCGTGGGTCAATCCGACGACAAAAAAGACCATGAAGAAGTAACATTCGCAACTTCGAGATCCAAGGTCATTCTCCGAATATAAGGATCAGAGCAATAAATGCCGCAAACAAATACGGGTTGCTAGAACTTCTTTTGAGCGCCAACTGATAGCAGAATCCATTATATGTCCCAAGACGTTTTACGGGTACATCCGCAGTAGGAGGAAACATAGGGAAGAAATTGCATGTCTAACGGATAGTCTCGGAAACTTATTAGTTGGAAGGCCACAGAAAGTGCGATTACTGTCTCAGTTTTTGAAATCATATTTTACGGAGGAGTCCTCAGAAGACAATCAGCCGTTTGAAATGGACCGAGACAGCCGAGAGCTTCAAATGCGCCAAGATATTGCCGTCATCGAAACCGTCGCCTTTTCTGTCGAAGAAGTCAGACGCGTCCTCAGTCAATCTGATAGGTCTCCTGGAACCGACGGAATTCCCAAGCTTATAATTAAGGAGCTATCAGCGGAGCTGTCAAAGCCTCTTTCGACTCTCTTTGACCTGTCAATGAGAACAGGAAGGCTGCCCTCATAGTGGAAGACAGCTAGTCTCGTTCCATTGTATAAGGGAGGTAGCAGGATGACAGCAAGCAGCTTAAGGCATATTAGCTTAACTTTCCTCCCTTGCAAAACGATGGAAGCTATAGTAAAGAGCGCTATACAGCAATTTTGTGAAGAAAATAACATCTTGCAGGATTTTCAACATGGTTTCCGGAGAGGATGTTCCTGCCTCTCAAATCTGCTAGCTTGTCTGGAGATCTGGACCGGGGCTCTAGAACAGGGTTTTGAGGTCGATGTCGTGTACATCGATTTCCGCAAAGCCTTCGATACTGTTCCGCATCAACGTCTTCTTCACAAACTGAGCGCCATCGGCATCCGGGGAGATCTTCTAATTTGGATTAGGGCGTTTCTGGTTGGTCGGAAACAACGTGTCTGTGTCGGGGATGATCTGTCAGAATGGGTGAACGTGACAAGTGGTGTGCCGCAAGGCTCAGTTCTGGGACCATTGCTCTTCATCCATTACGTTAACGACAGCCTTCAGCAACTGGACTGCGGCAAAATAATGTTTGCAGACGACGTTGAGCTCTGGCAAGTCATTAAGGGTCGGAATGATCAGAGATGCCTTCAAGATAATCTGCACCGACTGCAAGCCTGGTGGAAGAAATAGCTTCTCGATTTCAATATGGAGAAGTGTGCCGTCCTTCATCTGCGTCCAACCAACTCTCATTCAAATGCGACTCTGAGGACTTATCACCTGAATCATATAAGGCTCCCCGCAGAATCTTCACAGAAGGATCTCGGGGTTTGGATACAGAACAACCTGAAACCAACACTGCAGTGCCACAAGGCTGTAAAATACCTCATGGGAGTGCTGCATGCAATCAGACGTGCTTTCGTAAACTTTGACCAAGACATTTTTGGGAGAGTTTACGGCACTTTTGTTCGGCCCCACTTAGAATATTGCATACAAACGTGGCAGCCATGGCTAGTAAAGGACGAAGCATGGCTCGAACGGGTACAACGACGTGCAACGAAGCTGGTAAATGGTCTAAAAAGCCAATCCTACACAGACAGACTGAAGCGCCTTAATTTATTCCCTCTGTGTTACAGGCAACAAAGAGGTGATCTTATCCTCGTCTACAAGATAATACATGGCCTTGAGCATGGACTTAAACTTGAGGACATGTTTCAGTGGCACCTTTTACCCAATCTTTGTGGTCATTCGATGAAGTTACGGACAACAATGTCCAGGCTGAATCTTCGTTCTGAATTTTTCACGCAGAGGGTAGTGGAGAAGTGGAACGATCTCCCTCAGTCGGTCGTGGAGGCTACGTCTCTGCAACTCTTCAAGAAACGCTTGGATGATTTTTTGTGTCTTCTGTTTTCCGTCGACAGTCTGAATCTATTCTAAGACCCCACGTCCCAACAAATCTTTTCTCTAACACAATGCTACTCAAATGGATCAAGTACTGTTTTAATAGCGAATATTTTAATTGTTCGTGCACACTTATTTCTAACGAGCTGACATGTAATCAATAGGGTTTTCAAAGGCTTTGCCTATTATCCTTACCAAATAAACGGAAAAGTTGAATACATGTCAGGAGTAAGAAACATTAAATGGTAAGTCACAATCAAAGCGGTCAAAATAATATTGAATCATATATCATATTATTCTTGCCCTAACAGCAATTCCATAGCGATGTGACGGCGCCTCGCTGTGGTTATTGCGATAGAATGACCGATTTGTAGCGGATTTAGTCCATGTGGTCGCTATGGAAGCCATGGCGAAAAGTCGCGGTATGGCGCTATGCAGCTGCAGGACGCCTTTCCTGAGCGACCTTTCCGTTTTAGCACCTATGAAAGCTGTTTTTCGCACTTCCCATCCGATTTATTACTAAACAAACTATGGTACCCCCCTCCTTCCCACCCCCTCCCCAAGAAAGTTGAATGAAGGCGTTTTGACGAAGTAGAAATGACGATTTATTATATAAATATAAAATACAATTATTATCGGCAGTATTGTCTCGCGGCCGGGACGAGGAGGGTTCTGTTGAGGGTTCTAAACCAAGTATGTGTTAGTTCAGTTTCACTTACCATCAGAGTCATCAAGAAGAGAATCTGGCCGAGATCGTCTTTTTCGAAGGGTGTCGAGGGATCTCTTCAGCCGCCTTGTGAAGGCGACCTCTAGTTCATAAACGTCCACCCTTCCTCCCTTGTTCCAAGCTGCGTAAACGTCTGTTTGCCATGCAGAGGTACATGCAAGCAAGGGCCTACCCTTTATTACCTCATAAAACTGTGAACCACACAGGCCTTCCTTTGTCTTTTTTCTCAGATATTTTCATGGATGGTAGCCTCGTCGTCAAATAGGGCATAAAATACCCGCTTTAGGAAGTCGTCGCTGTTGCGTCCACTGAGGCATACGAGGAAGTTTGTCCATGAATGTCATAATAATCAGTAAGCCTAACCAGCTGCGACTTGACCTTAAAGTCATGCAATCTACTGTTTACCTCCAGGAAGTCCGACTTTGTGCGAATGGGCCGCCTTAGGAGGTTGGTGGGAAAGACGGCCTCCGAGTTTTCTGGTACCGGCTGTCGCCGATTTTCATCAACCTGCATGGTATGGTGGTTCTCAAGGATTCGTTAATTGCTCTTTATTAGCCAAGCTAGTTGTTTAGGCATAAATGCAATGGTCTTTCCCTGTCGCCTCATGTCACCCTGCATAGCAGTAATCATTGTCCGGCAGGACGGGTCCTGGCCTACTACAACGAAACTCAATGTCATATAGCATTACCTGTGTCGTTTGGCTGTCTTCCAGCAAGAAACGTGTCAACAGCTTCCCGATCGGACTCTCTTTCATCCTAAGCAGGAACCGTTGTAAGCATATGGTAAGTTACTACCGGTGACATTGGCGGCTCGCCAAGTTCCCAGTATCGCCTATCAAAGGGATTGCGGCGTTGTCTAGTTGACTGTCGCCGACCAGTCTCCTCGTCACTGGAAGAGGTGGCCATTGATGTCTAAAACCACACAGGGAAAGAATAAGAGTTAGTAGCTTCACCTGTTACTACGTCCACTACATCCCTTGATGCTCGTTAACCACTAACTAGGTACTGTGTGGTTGTAGGTCAACGAGCATTGTCCATGGAGGGGACGGGAGTGATAGTGGCCAAAGCTGCTTGTTCATAGCCTAATATATTTATTAATATGTACGAGTTATCTAGAGGAAAGCAAACGTACTTAGAGAAGGTCATGGGAAAGTGTGCACAATCAATCGTTTTTGAGATATCAGCTGTTTACACCTGCATGGCTGATGACTCTGCAGGATACAGGAAGTAATCAGCGATGTTATTGAATTCGCTGTATACTAGTAGAATCTGTCCTTTTCTGTCTAGAAGTATGTTCTTTACACAGACTATTTTGTCGCCTAGGGTTATGCACCGATTAGCTGAGGAAGTATCCACTCGAAAACCGGTGCCCACTATGCAGGTAAACTGTTGTTAAACATCAAAGCCCTATAGAATCGGGCCCGTGGTGTGCTTACGCAGAAGCCGAATCTGTTGACCACTGTGCGAACACACACTTTGTACGTCAAATTCACTAAGTCGCCTAGCTATTTGCTGTTGCGGTCTGGGTGGACCACGTTAAAGTCTCTTCAGACGACCAAGGTAACTCTCAAATGCGAAATATGAGAAGGAATCCAAGGCCCCATGACGTTCGACATCATCAGCAATATGCATGATGCTGTGGATGTTGTAGACCATGCGTTCCTGCCCATATAACGTAGCGAATTTACAGGTAAACAGCTTTAATAAATGCCTAGCGTAGCCTATGCTTGACATGTAAGTGTCCGCTGAGGCTAGCAAACTTATGGCCGTGAACAGGATGAGGAAGTGTCTATAGTGACCTGACGGTAAAATGTCCTTCAGGACAATAATTCCTGTGTACAGCAAAAGCTGTCTGTACTTTGTGCCCTTCCAGGAGTCTAAGTCGGATAGACTTCTGCACCTCTGAGAGAACTCTGTCGGTAGATAAGTGTTTAACCCTCGTAATCTGCTATTAACTATTTCAACTTGCGACGGACGCAGTGTGCACAACTGTGTCTGGCCAGATGCCTTAGACCGGTAATTTCTAACTCACAAACGAATAAGCTTCATCAACACATCTTAATATGCAAAATGCGCTGGATCTAGAGGAAAATTAGACACTAAACCCAAGTTGCAGCGGATAAAGGGAGACGGCCTGTCGAAAGTTGTGTGGTCGACAAAATAAAGTTTCCCAATCAAAAGTCAGAGAAGACGGTTTGATTTGGACAACCTTTACTGCCTGAGGAAGTACGTTCACTAGGGCTCTGTAGGCAGTCGCCGCGAGCGCGCTGCGAGCAAGCTGTTGTCTGTGTCCGCCTTCGAGGTGTTCGTTAGCGACGTGTGTCTCCACGTCGCCAGCCAATCAGAGTGGGGACAGCGTTGATTGGCTTCGAGCACACGCGCGTCCCAGCAGCGTCTCGACACGGAGTGTGAGGCGGACAGGACGGCAGCGTGACAAAGGCGGAGGGTGAGGAGACGCGAACCGCCACAGTACCCCCCGGCTAGACCGAAGGCGGAGCGTAGCGATGCCGAAGGAACTATTGATATCTAAAAAACATGAGTGACCAAACGGTCAGGAAAGTGAACATGGCGTCCGCTACGGGTGATATATACAGGGGGCACAGGAGTAGAGTGAGTATGGCTCGCGGTTACACTGTTGTTGGTTGATGAAGGAGTAGTTGCAGTTGTGGGTTGCGGACATGAGCGCAAAGGAAGTATACGGGACGGAGGGATACAGGGCAAGGGATGGGAAGGGCGAGGTAGTGGGCAGGGTGAATGATCACGGGATAGGGAAGAATGAGGAACAGGGGTTAGGGGGTCAGCACATTTTTGTCCTAGTGACGGGGCCGGCGGCTTCTCTGCAACAGCAGCCTTGACACGATCGACACTGACCACGTCGTCCTTGTCACTGCAAAGAATCCGGAAGATCTTGGCGTTGCGCGCGAGCACGCGGAACGGTCCTTCGTATGGTGATTCCAGCGGCTGGCGCACGCGGTCACACTGGACGAACACATGAATACAGCTGTCCAAGTATTTTTCGACATAAGACTCAGTCATTGGAGCTCGAGGTGGAACCGGGGAAAGTGAGCGCATAAATTGCCGCAAACGGTGCACAAGATTGTCAGGAGTCTCGTCGGCCCCACGAGAGGTTGGAGTGATCATCTCGCCTGGCAGTCGGAGGGTAGTGCCAAAAACCAATTCAGCTGTGCTACAGCCCAAATCCGACTTCAGAGCTGCGCGGATGCCAAGGAGTGCAAGGGGGAGGTTGTCCGACCAGTTTCCTGGGTCTTCTACGGCACGCAGGGCGGTCTTTAGCTGACGATGGAAACGTTCCACCATACCGTTGGCAGCTGGGTGGTAGGCTGTCATCCGAATGCGTGTGCAGCCAAGGAAATTGAGTACCGTCTGGAAGAGTGCCGATTCAAACTGGGCACCACGATCAGTCGTAACCGTGGATGGGGCACCGAACATGGCGATCCAACGACTGACGAATGCCTTCACGATGGTTTCAGCCTGAATATTCGGCAAAGGAATAGCTTCAGCCCAGCGAGTGTATCGATCGACACAGGTAAGGAGGTGGGTGAAACCATTGGATGGAGGCAAAGGGCCTACGACATCCAAGTGCACATGGCTGAACCGTGCGTCGGGACTGGGGAAAGTGCCTGGTGGGGACTTGTTGTGACGCTGCACCTTGTTGCGCTGGCAGCTCAGACAGGACCGAGTCCAAGCTCTGACGTCCTTGTTCATGCCAGGCCAGACAAACCTTTCCGCGAGGAGCTTTTGAGAGGCTCGGATCCCAGGGTGGGAGAGTCCATGCAAAGTTTGAAATACAGCTCGACGCATCGAGGCGGGCACGAAAGGGCAATGAAAGGGAGTTGAGGCGTCACAAAGTATGGTACCAGAGCCGGTGGTCAGAGGAACGTCTTTGAGTTGGAGACCACTAACAGACTCGTTACCAGGACAACCGACTCGCTGTCGCTCAGCCGCCATGGCACAAAGATCGATCCCGTGTGAGAGGTGGAGGGAAGACAGTGAGGGTCTGGACAGCATATCAGCCACCTCATTCTTCGTGCCATCAATGTGGCGGATGTAGGTGGTGAATTGGAAGATGTAGTCCAGTTGGCGGATTTCCCTCGGATTATACTTGTCGGAGTGGGAACGAAGTGCAAAAGTAAACGGTTTGTGGTCAGTAAAAATTGTGAACTCTCGACCTTCGAGTAAGTGCCGGAAGTGCCTTACGGCAAGATAAGCGGCGAGAAGTTCACGTCCGAGAGTGCTGTAGCGGGTTTCGGCCTTGGATAGTTTCTTGGAGAAGAAAGCCAAAGGCACGGTAGAATCCGGCAGACTTTGTTGAAGGACCGCGCCAACAGCAACCTTGGAGGCATCGACCATCAAAGATATGGGTGCATCAGCGTGAAAGTGAGTCAGGAGGGTGGCATCAGCCAGAAGGGCTTTTACCTGCTCAAATTACGTGAGTGCTGCCGGTGTAAGTTAAAAAGCGTGTTTAGAACCGGAGAGGAGATTGGTCAGAGTTAGGATGATATCGACACAGTTCGGGAGAAACCGGCGATAAAAGTTCACCATACCAAGAAACCGTTGCAACTGACGCTTCGAGGCAGGGAGTGGAAAGTCCCGAATGGCGGCAACCTTTGAGGGAAGAGGGCAAATGTCGTGGGAGTCACCAGATGACCTAGAAATTGTAGGGAGGGCACACCAAAGACGCGCTTGGACGGGTTGAGAACAACGCCAAATTGTTGAAGGCGGTCAAACACCGTTGTAAGATGTTCCATGTATTCTTGGGTGGTGAAGCTGGCTACTAGAAGGTCGTCGATATAGGCGTAGACAAATGGTAGGCCGCGAAGCACTCTGTCTACAAGCCTTTGGAAGGTCTGGGAGGCGTTGCAAAGTCCAAACGGCATGCGCAGGAACTCAAAGAGGCCAAAGGGGGTGGTAACGGCCGTCTTCGAAACGTCCTCTGGGGCTATGGGAATTTGGTGGAAAGCACGGACCAGATCGATCTTTGAGAATACAGACTTGCCGAATAGGGCACCAGCAAAATCCTGAAGATGTGGGACAGGGTAGCGGTCCGGGACAGTAACGTTGTTCAGGGCCCTGTAATCACCGCAAGGGCGCCGGTCACCAGTGGCGGCCTTTGGAACCATGTGGAGGGGTGAGGCCCATGGGCTTTCAGACTGGCGGATGATGCCCATTTGAAGCATGTGCTCGAATTCGGCCTTGGCGGCAGCAAGACGTGTAGGCGCGAGACAGCGGGGGCGAGAAAACACGGGAGGGCCGGTGGTCCGAATGTGGTGAACAACCTCATGTGGTGGAATAGAAACGTTGAAGTTGGGACGAGTGAGGCCGGGGTGTTTGCGAGGAGTTGCCGAAATGGATTCTCGGGTTCAGGGTCCAAGGTGGCAAGATGACGGGAGGCGTCGGAAGAAGAGATACCCCGGACAGTGAGGATGGTAGTCTTGTCGTGTAGACGTGACTGACGGCAGTCGACCAGAAGATCGAAAGCGGTGAGGAAATCTGCACCGAGAATTGCACAAGGAATGTCAGCAACGACGAAGACCCAAGGGAAGAGACGCCGGAGACCGATGTCCAGAGAGAAGGAGCAGGTGCCAAATGTGGTAATCGGCGATGTGTTGACGGCCTGTAGGAAAAGACCGGGATTGGGGCACCGACGATCAGCTGGTGTGGGTGGAATGACACTTAGCTGGGCACCAGTGTCAACCAAGAAACGTCTGCCACTCCGGGTGTCGCGGACGTACAATGTGCGACCAGGGTTAGAGCTGTCGGGAAGTTTGGCTGCACAGACCTTCAGGTTGACCGGTTTTACCCGTTTTCTCTGCTTGAAAGTGAAGGAGCAAGGAGAGACGCAGCGACGGGCTTTAGCACCGAAGGTGGTGTGGTACCAGCAGATTGCAGCTGCGTTTGGACGGGCTGAATGAATAGACGAGGCATGCTGGGTGGACGGCTTCATTGGGCTCCGAGAGGAGGCAGAAACTGTGGGCTTCTGGAGAGCGGTTATATCATCGGCCAGCTTGTTGATCTCGATCTCTAACTGCGAAATGGGAGACGCAGGAGGAGTTGAGGGAGTTGAGAGTGCTGAAATAGACGGCTTGAAAAAACCGTGCATCTCCATAAGCCGATCAGCCATTTGAGTAAGTTGCGTGGCCGAAAGAATGTCAAAGGCGGGTGCCAAAATATGCTGCACTTCCGGTGGAAAATTGTCCATGATCAACACCTGAGTTTGTCGTAGATTAGGAAGAACGAAGATTGCTGTTCGTTAGGAGTCACCAATTGTCGAAAGTTGTCTTCGTCGACAAGATAAAGTTTCCCAATCAAAAGTCAGGGAAGACGGTTTGAGTTGGACAACCTTTACTGCCTGAGGAAGTACGTACACAAGGGCTCTGTAGGCAGTCGCCGCGAGCGCGCTGCGAGCAAGCTGTTGTCTGTGTCCGCCTTCGAGGTGTTCGTTAGCGACGTGTGTCTCCACGTCGCCAGCCAATCAGAGTGGGGACAGCGTTGATTGGCTTCGAGCACACGCGCGTCCCAGCAGCGTCTCGACACGGAGTGTGAGGCGGACAGGACGGCAGCGTGACAAAGGCGGAGGGTGAGGAGACGCGAACCGCCACAGGCCCTAATACATGCTAAAGACTTTCGTGTCCTGAAAAGCCATCATCGTTCCTCTCCCTCTCTCCTTCCTCTAGGTAGACAATTTTTCCAACATATGTTCCGACGGTTGTACAACGTTCACAGCCGTCATATGCATTGACGTTCTTAATCTGTTTGACGAAGGCCCGCGCGGGTGTATCACAAATAACACTAGCTATGCGGACTCGCATCCTGCCAGGGCGATTGCTGGATAGCAATCCTTCTTCTTTAAGGACAACTATTTCGTCTATAAGGTCTTTACAAAACGCTTCTACGTGTGGCGGCTTGCCGCTCCCACAGTACATGGACATGGCAAATACCTAACTAAAAATGGCTTCACGATAGGACCTAGAATGGACCACAGTTCAGCTCTCGTCCTGCGGTAAACTGGCAAACCGTCTATAGCTAGATTCACAACTATCTCTTCATTGTCTGCGACTACGATTTCACTATCAACTAATCTGCGTAGTTGCTTCTGCAGCCCAACATGAACGTACTCCCCACAACCCATGGAGACTACTTGCAAGTTATACGATGCCCCCAACAATGTACTAGGGTCTTCGGGCAATTGCGGACGGCCATCCGCACTATGTCTAACACACTTCGTAAATGACTGTGCGGTATACGGCGATGCAAAGCGCAATCACGCAGTCTTGTCCTTATGCGTTCACTTAGTGGCACGTCATCATTATGGATGACAGTGCCCGCCAAAGCAATACTGTCTGCACATGCTAAATCACCTAACAATGACGTTGGCCGGCTAGGGCTCCCACTTCCAACGTCTACTGAATTGCCAACAGACGACTCGCCGCCTGAACAGTCCGCTCGATAACGTTTGCTACCGCCAAAGAGCAGATCCACTTCTGCATCTTTTTCTTTTGCCATTTCCTCGATCATCTTCTTCACATGCCGTCTAATAGTGCGTTTACATTCGTGCCTAAACATTTCAACAATTAAAAAAGAAGGGATAATGAATCAAATAAGGGTATAAGAGACTGAGGCAGTGAGCAGTTGATAGCGCACGCCGCACGCGATATACAAGCAATAATGGCGACGAGCATGCGGCATGGGAGCACTGATAGCTCAAGCGCGCCAGTCAGCGAATGTGAGAAATCGCTAAACTCGCCGACCAATCAGGCGACGAGATAGCCTTATCGCGAGATTTCCGCGACAGGAGTGCATCAGGTAGCTATTAAATGTTACTAGGGTGTGAATGTGACATTATAAATGTAGTGGTCTACTGTTTATTATAATTTTTGCATTCAGAAAAGTTTCCTCAAATTTTGGGTTCTGAATCCACTAATCGACTCCACCGTAGTGATGGCGTTTGTGGTCTCTGAACATTATGGCCGGTCTCACCAGCTGTTACTCAACGCCTCTACTTTGACTATCCCTAACTTCATGAAGGGAATTGACGTCCAATAATCTCCGATACCGTGAAACCCCCTCCCCCCTTATTGCGGTCGAAAATCTACCGCCAGCAGTTTTTTTCTCCTGAACCCTCCAAACCATAAAAACCAGCATCAACTATATTTTTATTCGTCAGGAGTTTTTTTTCACTGCAGGTCGGATTTGTGTTTAATCGCTTCCCTTGACAATGCCTGTAAACTGGCATTTAATAAATTAAATTAAATTAAATGTAGTTGTATATATGATTACTATGGCCTCAATATATAGATAGATAGATAATTTTTATTAAAGACCCGTCGGGGTCCCATCAAAGCAAGTTAAAATAAATTTACATGCGACTTTAAGACGAGGTAGTCCGAATCTTTACATAATACAATTCATAGTTCATGGTATTGATGTCCCAACCGAAACCTTTGCTGGAGAAGCTTGTTTTGCCACAATAAAATCTCATGCCCAGGAAAACATACTAGTCGGATGCCTCTACTCCCCTCCAGAATGTAGCAGTGATGACACAAGCCTCAACCTCTTAATAAGCAATATAGCTAACATAAAAAATTAATATAAGATAATTGCAGGCGACCTACACCGCCCAGAAATAGACTGGGTCGAATTATCAGCAACTACCAGGCACGAAGAATTCTTGACTTCAATTATCTTTAATAACTGGACACGAATAGTTGACAAACCCAACCGAGGAAACAATATACTAGACGTTATTTTCACCAACGACATCTGGCCCCTATATATGCACTACGACTGCGCAACCTTTGAAAGTGACCACAAAGCAATAATATCAACACACCGCTTAAACGCAAAACTAGCACCTCATTTTAGTAACACCCGCCTAAACCCAAAAAAACTTGACGAGGACTCCATGAACAACTATATTAAATAATTGGTCTGGAGCCCAAATCTTCTTACAACACCCCTATGGAAGCAGTTAACCTATTATACTCTGTCCTATTTGTAATTCGAGATACGTTGATAGACGAAAGACTCCCGTATAAGAAATCACCAATCCCGAACTTCCTTTCAACAAAACTAAAAAAGCTACAAAAACAGCTACGCGACCCCTCTGTGAGTTATTTTTCCACACCTCGACGAATTAGGGAAATTCACGACCTAGTCACGAAAATAGAAACACAAAAGACCATAGCAGCAGAACATAGGGCACTAGAATCCCCCGAACGAACAGCTCAGAGGTTTCAGAAACTAAAGAGTAATCATCGACAGTCAGGACCACGAAATATTATTAACGAATTAGGGCAAGTTATAACCAATGATAAACAAATAGTAAACTTATTCAACAGATACTTCTCAGCTAACTACACAGTCGAAGAGGGAACCATCCCCCAACAGACCGAGATGACTGAACGCATCCTTAGTGAGATCCATTTTAGTGAAGAAACTGTTAAAGTAGCCATCAAACAACTATTAAACACCAAATCCTATGGGACAGACAAAATACCACCATGTATTCTGAAGCATATGACGTATACTCCAATACTCCTATCTAAGTTATTCACCCTACTCCAGTCAAATGAAATTTTTCCGGACATGTGGAAATACTCGACCATTGCGCCTATATTTAAAAGCGGCAACCGATCTCGTACCCAAAACTATCGTGGTGTTTACCAAACTCCGACAATAGCTAAAATCCTCTAGAAAATAATATATAACCAATTGCTAGACTATCTCATGAACGTCAACCTCATTCCCTCCTTTCAACATGCATTTTTACCTAAAAAGTAATGTCAGTCCTGCCACCTTCCTTTTTTGGAATTCGTTTGCAGCAATAGACATGATGGAAGCACAGTAGCTTCAATAAACTTCGATCTAAGAAAGGCCTTCGACAAAGTCCACCATAAAAGACTACAGATAAAGCTAAAAAGTCATGGAATTAGGCCACCCCTTCTCGATTTTCTAAAATCTTATCTTCAAAACCGATACCAGGTGGTACAAATTCGAAACGTCGTCTCAGAACCATCTCCTATTACCAATGGAGTACTTCAAGGCACTATCCTATGTCCCCTTCTATTTCTTATATATATTCACGGCTTATCGTCCATATCTGCCTCAGCTAAGACGTTTTTATATGCGGACGACCTTAAAATTGCATATGCATATAACGGGAATACAGTACTCAATATTCATAGAACAATTGAAACTGATCTCAGAAAACTCAGCGAATGGAGTAGTCAGTGGCAGATGTCCTTTTTACCCGAAAAATGCCATTTCCTGATATTTGGCCCTCAAAAACTTCCCCCCATAATATTCGAGGATAATGAAATAACAGAGGCCCAATCTGTAAATGATTTAGGTCTCAGCTAAAAAAATGCCCTTGATTTATCTCTTCACGTCCAACAAATATCACCGAAAGCCACTCGCGTGTGTGGGTTCATATGTAAAAATTTCACCTTAAGTGCACTAAGAATACAACTCTTCAAAATGTATGTTTTACCCCTCCTAGATTACTGTTCAATTTTCTTCGGCATAATGCCCTCAGACGGCCGAAAGAAACTAGAAGGCATTCAGAGACGGGTTACTAGATCTTTGTCTAGAAGTGATGGCATCCAGGGTTCATACTTAGAACTATATCATAAAAAGGTCTTCGACCACTCTGGATCAGAAGACTTCAAAATGGTCTAAACTTCCTATTCAAGGTCACCCACGACCAAGATACTCTCAAAAGGAATTTACTTACCAACCAAAACGCCCCTAGAAACACCAGAAATAGCGAGGATATTATAAGGATTCCCAAACTCACAAAGTCCCAACGGTCAAATTTCTACTCCATAAGATATGCGACTTTCTGGAATTCTCTTCCAGGTTATATCCGGAAAAGTCGAACCCTAATCAAGTTTAAAATAAAAACTAAAAAATTCCTTTTAAATAACGATACACATTTATTTATGAATAAGATACGACATTTTTCAAGTCAAATCTTTGATATTGAATTTGGTCCAAAAGGGCTCTGATGATGCCAGCCGATTGAAAAATACCGAAACATAGCACTAAAAATAATCAAATTTATAAAAGATAGCACCATTGATAAACATAGAACAGATAATGATATTCTTTTTTTTCCATCTCTCGTCTTCATCAGCTATGTCACCTGACACTAAGTATCCCTTATAAAGATAATAAAATATACCCTTCGATAAAACCCTG